TGAGTTGCCTATTGCCGATCTATCGGCGATGCATCGCCGAGTCCGGATCGATGTTCCCCCCCCCTTAGTTGGTTTTCTACCTTGTCCTTCAAGGGCAGAAGCTCAGAGCCCCGAATCATCAGGGGTAACTCGGGTCAGGGATAACTCGGGTTCGTTTTTCGGGAATCCAAACCCGAGTTACCCCGGACCCGAGTTACCCCGGATATTTCGGGCGTCCAGAGCCCCGAATCATCAGGGATAACTCGGGTCAGGGATAACTCGGGTTCGTTTTTCGGGAACCCAAACCCGAGTTACCCCGGACCCGAGTTACCCCGGATAACTCGGGCGTCCAAGAAGCACAGCGGTGGCGGGTTCGGATAAGCAATCTCGGCGGAGGGCGGCGTAAGTGCGTAAAGGTCCAGGCCGCCCAAATCGGGTCACAGCCGACGCGGTCGGTTCTGGCGGGTCGCGCCGCATAGCCAAGGGCTCCCTCGAGGGCGCGAAGTTATTCGCGCTTCGCGCTTCGCGGTCCTCGTTTCTCCTCCCCCTCCTCCTCGTCCTCCTTTTCTCCCTTTGGGGGGGCGGCGCGAGAGCGCGAAGTTATTCGCGCTTCGCGCTTCGCGCAGCGCGAAGCGCGAAGTTGGGAGCCCTAGCATAGCCGACGCATCGGCGATGCGGCTCGATGTGGGGCCCAGCTTCCCCACGCCGACGTCGCCGACGCACCGCCTTACCAGCCTGAAGCCTGTCCCTATCCCTGAGATTGTCGTCATCTTACCTCGGTGTCGAGTTTAAGGCCCCCCCCCCAGTTTCTGAGGACATCCGTGGGATTGTCATCGCCTTGGGCTTGCCGATCTTAGGGGTAGGGATGAGATCGAGGCTGGTTGCCGCCGACGTCGCGGATGCATCGGGCGATGCGTCGGCGATGCGGCGCCCTTCACCGACCCCCTTGCTTCGGGCCCATCTAATCGACGCTCAGAAGCGGAGCCGTCTGCACCGACATTGGCGCAAGTTGCCCGCGTAAGGGTGAATCGGGCCTGTCCCTCTACATGGGGAATATTCAGAGATAGTCAAAAATAGTCAGGGGACAATGTTTCATTTTTTACCATTGTGGAGCATTTTTTCCGTATTTTTTATTTTCGTCGAAAATCCCCCTGTAGGGGGACACGCCCGACTTAAGCGTAAGGTCGCTGTGCCAGCTCGCATACCACCGGCGCCACCCCAACATACTAATACTGTGTTTGCGCCGCCCCCCCCCAGGGGCGCTGCGCGCACCGAGAAGTCTTATAGCATGTGCGTCGTGGCCAGCGCTTTCTGGCCATGCCGATCGGGAAGCGATATACCACCAGATGGGTGTACTACCTGTTCGAGTCGGACGCGCGCCTCCAAGGAGGACATATAGTACTACTACCCTCGTCAAGATTAACCTCACGAATGGCGACCACGTCCCTGCGATGTCGGCGCGCCCTTCAATGTCGATAGACGCTCTTTCAATGTCGGGACCAGGGCAAAAGTGGTCTGACCGAGAGCGACTCGGAAGTTCGATGATGACCGACGTTGGAGGGGCGGCGCATACAAGTTTTTCGCAGTTACCGCGACTCTGTCCAGTATCTCCCCACAAACAGTTCAGCCACGAAAGACATGTTTGAGATCAATTTTGACGAGGGTTGTAGTATGTCTTGTGGAAGTCGGCTACTGGAGAGGAAGCATGCTGCCAAATAATGTCCAGATGTCTAACACATGTTTTAAACATGTTTTAGATAGGTTCAACATGTTTGAAACATCTTTAGAACATGTTTGCACGTTTAGAACACCGGTTCAACTCAATGATAGGATTGTTAGGGTGTCCACTGTCATGGCATCCACAAGTGTAGCATGATTGTGTCTTGGCATCGCTCGGACGTGTGCATGTTTCCCTCGGCGAGGACCATCGAGGGCATCCTTGACATTTTTTTGCGAAAAGGCCACGCACGAAACCGATAAAGAAAACAGGGAGTGGACGTCCGAGTGATGGGGTGGTTTGGGGGCGCCCCAGAGAGCCTGGACACATGTTCCTCAGCACAGTAAAGACGCTGAGATAAGGAACAGTTTGGGTTCGGAAGGGGCTCGATGCTCTTTAGGTTCCTCCAGTGCAGTTCCCCTCTTCCCCTCCTGGGGCACGGAGGCGCTTACAGGACCAGTGGGTGTGCGTCCCATACAACCCGCTTGGTTTTCCTCGCTCGCCTCTGGGCGGCCTCCAAGAGAGAGGCTCCCCCCCCCGGGCCGCGCGCGGTGCACGCAGGGTTGGTGCCAGGGGGGTCGAGGCTCGAGGTGCGAGGCTCGAGGCTCGCTCCTCGGGGCTCGAGGAGCGGGGAGGGGCCTCCAGGCTTAAGAGCTCCTCGAGGCTCGAGGCTCGCTCCTCGAGTCTCGAGGCTCGCTCCTCGAGGCTCGAGGCTCGCTCCTCGAGGCTCGAGGAGCGGGGAGGGCCTCCAGGCTTAAGAGCTCCTCGAGGCTCGAGGCTCGAGGCTCGCTCCTCGAGGCTCGCTCCTCGAGGCTCGAGGCTCGCTCCTCGAGGCTCGAGGAGCGGGGAGGGCCTCCAGGCTTAAGATCGCAACACCAACCCACGGGTATGCCTCAGCGGGAGGAGGGTGATCCTCGATGTCGGCGTTGGTGGTGATACTTCGGCCACCCAGGACGCCAACAGATTTCCACCATCGCCGAGATCGGGAGCCCCTTCCCTCGGTAGGGCACACCGCCCATATTGGTGTTGGTGTCAACCTCTAGGCCTCCCATCGCAGGCCTAGAGATTGACACCAACACCAATACCGGCGGTGTGCATTTACCGAGGGAAGAAGATGCCGATCTCAGTGATGGTGGTAATATTCTGGCTTCCAGGGTGACCGAAAGATTGCCACCAACACCGAAATCTAGGATCATCTTCCCCATGTGGAGGCAACCCCCTGCGTTGGTGTTGGTGCCCATTTCCAGGCCTTCAAGAAGAGACTGTTTTTTTTTGGGTCGGGCGATTACCCGGGTCATCGGGTTTGCCCGTTGGTGCAGGTGCGCGGGAAGGGGGGGCGCGGGCATATGCAGGGCTGCCCACAGCGCGAGGTTTAGGTTATCGGCCGGCCCCCTCATCCCCACCCCCCCGGGATAGACCGGGTCATCGCCGATTCAAGAAAAACGGTCTCAAGTCGGTCAACAAGTAGTGTTGGAACCATGTGTTGACTATCTTTGAGCATTTTGGGGGCATTTGGGTTTTTTCTTTCTCGTCCAAAATCCGCGGCGCGATCTCCCAATCCCATCTATTCTGATCCCATCCAGGAGGCTTCTGGGGTCCGCCCCAGTTTCTTGGGGGACTCCGGGGGCCTCCCGGGAGTCGCCATGCAGACCTCTGGGGAGACCCCAGGAGTTCCCTGGAGGCCTCCTGGGAACTTTGGACCAGGAGGCGGAGGATACACGAGGGGTCGGCAGGATGCAGGCATACTCGTATCATGTGTGCATGACTCTCTTCAACAGGGGCGACGCGCGCATTGACAGATCCTGCAGTAGAAGCACCATAGCTGTCGTAGCAGCATAGATTATGTTGGGCTCAGGCAGGTTCACTTGCATGGCATTTCCGCCACCCCCTCCCCCTCCGCCGCCTTTTCCAGCACCGCTGGGCCGAAAAGGCGTTCGAATGATATTCGACTTGCGTGAAATCCAGATTTCTCTTTCGGCCTCACCGCAAGTCTCAAAGAACATATTCCTCCTATGTATTACGACATGTTCGTGCTGGATATTCTGGCTGGACGGACGCCTCAAAGGGGCGCACGGTGCTGGCATGTCTTTCTGCGCTCCAGGGAGGGAGGGGAGGCGGAGTATTGGTTTAGTCCTGATCGGCCAGTTGTTCGTCGCCTATGGCATGTGTTTGTTGTGTTGCTATCTCGTCGTATTTTGAACCGCGTGGTAATGGTGGTGCCGTACAAATGTGCAGGTTCCGTAAGTTCTGGCTCATCGCTGGCAACTAAAAGCTTAGCAGTCTGCGATTCCTTCAGTAGCTGAACATTGATCTCGTTCATACTGTGATATGTCGCATCGCACTTAGATCCCAGCTGTGGTATACTAGTTTGGCGGTGTGTTCAGCTCGTGCGTGAATCGCTCACATGGCATCCGCCAGAATTTGTCAATCCACTTGTATAGCAGCTGGTATGATTTAGTTGTTGCGTTGCGCATAGACGTATGGGATCATCCAAAACGCAGTCGGAACACATCTGGAAATAAGCCAGAAACATCAGGAAATATACCGGGTCACGATCATTGACAAATCCAGCCTCTATCGGGGCACCATCATTTGAGTGCAATCGGGACTGCGTTGCGATACTATGAGTCAATCGGGACACCATCGGTGCACAGTGTCTTTCCGTTCGCATGCACGCGCAAGAGTCAGTGTCGCAGATGATCCATCAGGAATCCTCTTTGGTTTATTGTGAGGGGGAGCGCGCGCGTGGGTTTCTCATGCAGCGCGGATCCCTTCCACCTCTTCCAATCGAAGTCATCCGTAGACCAGGGGGAAACAAGCGAACGAGAGGAAGAACGAGGATGGCAAGAGCAGACAGACGCCAACATGTCACAGCGCGGCGCAACAAGAGCTGGTGAGGGCCCCGAGAGGCTAAGTAGATATGTCCGTCCTGTTTTTCTCGACGCGAGGCGGTCTGGCAAGCCTGGCCGGCAGGGGGCTAGGTTGAGGAGGCGGAGGAGGAAGGAGGAGGAGGAGGACGGAGGAGGAGGAGGAGGGGGGGAGGAGGAGGAGGAGGAGGAGGAGGAGGAGGAGGAGGAGGAGGAGGAGGAGGAGGAGGAGGAGGAGGAGGAGGAGGGAGGAGGAGGAGAGAACGAGGGGAGGAGGAGGAGGGGGGAGGAGGGGGAGGAGGAGGAGGAGGGAGGAGGAGGAGAGGAGGAGGAGGAGGAGGAGGAGGAGGAGGAGGAGGAGGAGGAGGAGGGCGGAGGAGGAGGAGGAGGAGGAGGAGGAGGAGGAGGAGGGGAGGAGGAGGGAGGAGGGCGGCCAGGCGCCCGCCGTGGCCGCCGCGCTGTGCTCCGCGGGGCTGCTGCTGGCGCTGACGGCTGCGGCGCGGCACGCCGGGGCGTGCTTCGGCAGGCAGCGCCCCGCCTCGTGCGGGTTCGCCTGCGCTCGAGCCTGGGCAGCTCTGTTTTTGTTACGAACGGGGGGGGGAAGGGGAGGAGGAGGAGGAGGAGGAGGAGGAGGAGGAGGAGGAGGAGGAGGAGGAGGGGAAGAGGAGGAGGAGGAGGAGGAAGAGGAGGAGGAGGAGGACGAGGAGGAGGAAGAGGAGGAGGAGAAGAGGAGGAGGGAGAGGAGGAGGAGCCCCTTTGCGCGCTCGCCTGCGCTCGAACCTGGGCAGCTCTGTGCGAAGACCGATGTCTGACCACATCCACCTCTGGGTCCTCGATTCTATGTGATAGGCCCTCGGGGGTGGAAGTGGGCAGTTTCTCCTTCCCCTGGGGGCGGGGGAACTGCCCACCTCCACCTCTGGAAACCGCTTTTCGCAAGGCACCTCGGGAAGTGGGTGTGGTCAGAAGTCGGTCTCCTATCTGTTTTTGTGACGCACGGGGGGGGGCACTGGACAAGGAAGCTTTCGATAATCAGGGGAGCAAGAAGTGGCATAAACATAACAACTCGGAGGTCCGCGCGGATTTCTTGTATCGGCGCTGGACCCCCCTGGCGGCGCCTCCGGCGCCGCACCTGGCGCGCTCCGCGCGCCAGGGAGGGGGATCCAGCGCCGATCCGAGAAATCCGCGCGGACCTCCGAGTTGTTATGTTTATGTCACTTGTTGTTCCCCTATTTGTTACGCACGGGGGTGGCATTGGACAAGGAAACCTTGGATAATGAATCCACGGTCTGGAAGCTGGTGGCACTCCAACTGGGGCTTGGCCATGGATACCACCGCCGCCCTCATCAAATCAGGAATCCTCCAGGGTCTGCAGCCTCCTTAATCAACGCCCCCACCGTGCGCAGGGGGGGGCGCCTATCGTCGGCCACGCGCAGAGGGAGGTAGGGGGAGGGGGGGCGCCTTCTTATAAGAACCCCTGCTTCTGAGAAGGCGCGGGCCTCGTCTATAGACGCAAGGCCGGTGCTTTCTAAGAAGCAGGGTGCTTCTAAGAGGCCTTCCCCCCTCCCCCTACGCCCCTTTGCGCGCCGCCAAGACGCAGCCTCGATCTGCACCGCGCCTCGGCACAGGTCCATGCGCTCACTGCTGTCCACGGACCAGCTCGGGCAGCACGGGTTCCTTGAGACCCCCTGGAGAGGACGGCCACGTTCTGTCGAGGCTCTCTCCGCTGCCGGTCAGATCCAGGCTCTCGGGGTAACAGTGTCAGATTCCGGCGTATGCCACGCCGCGTTTGCCGTGCTGCGCCTCTGCCTTGTGGCGTGCGCGCCATGTGCGGTTTTGCATGTGCCAAGCCGTGCCGTGACATGAGGGTGGTGCTTGGTGCGTGTGAAGCTATGCTTCAGTAGCTTTTCGGGGCCCAAGGCTGTGCCCCGGCCGCCCGGCGCCCACGCGCCGGTCGCGCCACCGCCCTTCCACTGCCTCTTGTTGTGTCTCCATCACCTCAGCGTTCATTTTTTGCGAGGTTGAATTCAGCGTCGCGCCTGGTACCTATGCTTGTTGAGGTATCTTCATATGCCTCTCGGAGGCCCCTGAATCCTGTTGGGGCCTTTTCGAGGCCTCGGGGGGGGCTCTTCAAAGCCTTTCGAGGCCGCTTCGCGGCCTCTTGGGGACTTTGGGGGTCTCGGGAGCCTTATTGGGGGCTATCTTGGAGGGAAGGCTGCCAAGATCACTTCGACCTCATGAGGCCTTCTTGGGGGCCTCGTGAGTCGTCTTGGGGGCTGCCTTGGGGCGTTCTTGGAGGCCTGATGGGCCGTCCTGGGGTTCTCTTGAGGGCCTCTTGTGGAGATCTTTGGGGCTTCTTGGAAAATCATGTGCGCCCGCGCGAGTATGCTAACATCAGCCAAGCATGTGAGCCAGCGTTGACCCCAAACAGCGTGTGCCTAGCAACCGATGTCGTGCAAAAGATGTGGAGCAGTATTTGTGGTGCGATGGTCTATGCAGTCCACGTGCTGCAATACATATCTATATATATATATATATATATATACGTGCGACCTATGTTGTGCAACATATGTGGTGCAATCACCTGCCGAACTTGAAGTTGTCAACTCCACTGCTCGCGCAATCGCTCCACCCACCCACCCGCAACTTGGTTTGCACAACCCATGCGGGAACGATTGCGATGAGTGCTGGGTGTTGGCTGGTGCATCTCTGCGGCCGCGCTAACCCGCGTATGCTCGCGCGCGCAGCGGCCAGCTAGTTTGGCGCGACCGACGCGAACGCGGTGGCGCTGACCGTTCGGCACATCCCAGCGGGCACTTCAGTGCGCGACGACGAAGACGACGACGCCGACGAGGACGAACACGACGACGACGCCGACGACGACGACGAAGACGACGACGACGTCGCCAACGAAGACGACGACGAGGGAGGAGGGAGGACGACGACGGCGACAACGACGACAACGACGACAACGACGAGGGAGGAGGGAGGACGGCGACGACGCGAACGACGAAGAAGGAAGAAGTACGGCGACGCCGACGACGCGAACGACGAGGGAGGAGGGGAGACGACGACAACGCCAACGACGACGACGACGACGACGACGTCGGCGACGAAATAGGAGGGACGACGACAAGACGCCGACGACAAACGACGACGACGACGAGGAGGGAGGAGGAGGAAGGACGACCACGGCGACAACGACGACGGAAACGACCACGACGCCAAAGAGGACGACGACGACGAACACGAGGAAAAACAGAAGACGACGTAGGCGACGACGACGACGCGGGAGGAGGGAGGACGGCGACGACGACGACGACGACGCAAGAGCGCGCGCGCGCGCACGCTTTTGTTGAACATCCGTGTTGCGAAACTTTGTGTTTTTGTAGGTTTTTTGGACACACGATTTTGAAATCCTTCCGAAACCGAAGGGTTTTGATGGATTTCGGCATACGCGCGCGACGACGCGTTCGTCTGCACTTCGTCGCGTTTTTTGCAAAGGATTCTCGCGACGGCACACGCGCAAGGGCGTTCGACTGATTTCGACATGCGCACGCGCGAAGCCCGTTTGGTAGCATGTTGTGAAAATCTTAAACAGCCTATGGTTTTCATCAGATTTCGCAAGAGCTCGCGCGTCAGCTTTTTTAGCAAATCAGCGTTGCGAAACCTTGTGTTTTTGTATGTTTTTCTGAAACTCAATTGCGACGTCCTTTCGACACCGAAGATTGTTGAAGGATTTCGGCATGCGCGCGCGACGACGCGCGCGCCCCTTTCGTCCCAGCTTTTGCAAGGGATTCGCGAACAAGTCTTATGTTAGAACAACAAAATGTCCCTTCGTATTTTTTACCAGGGAATCTCAGGGGGGCTGCGGGGAGAATGGTCGATCCGAGCTGTTCCGGGCAGGAGGAATCTTCGTGGCGCAATTCGCCCTGGCGAACACCAAGTCGTCGATTGCACTGGCCTCGCAATCGCCCCGCCCTCAAGCCCGCCACGCGGCGCGCAAAATCGCCGCGGCGGCGACGTTGGCGACAGCCCGGCGCAGGGTGGCGCACTGCTGCGGCCGCGCTGGCGCGCGCAGGCTTCTCGCGCGCAGCGGCGCGCTAGTCTGGCGCGACCGACGCGGCCGCGGTGGCGCCCGCCGCCGGGGACTTCCCAGCGCGTCACTCATGCCGCGCTGGGGCGCGAACACTTAAGCGCGAGTCTGTGGCTCGGGTGGCGCGGCATCACGTCGACGCCGACAACGGCCGAAACGATAATAATAGTAGCGACGACGTTGGCTATGCCGACGCTGGCGACAGCAAGGCCACTGACGGCGCCGGGCGTCGGCGACGAAGGATGTGGGCGGGTTTCGACGCGCGCGCGCGGCCGACTGCATTGCCTGGCCAGGTCGCCCTTCCCCCCCCCCCCCCAGCGCGCGCAAGGGCTTTGAATAATTTCGAGGCGCGCGCGCGAGAGGGCCGTTGGGCCACGCTGCGAAGGAATGATTGAAAACAATTATTTCCCGCGCGAATTCGGGGGAGCGCGCGCGCGAAGTTCTTTGGATCATTAGTTGCAAAACCATTTGGTTTCTATATGCTCCGGGGGCTAAGTCTGCAACCTGAAGTTCCCGGGCAGTCTCGGCGCGCGCGCGACGCCGCGCGCCTGGACTTTGGTTCGCCTCTCTGCGCGGGGCCCGCGACCCTAGCAAGCGCGCGGAGGCGTTCGGACGATTCCGGAACGCGCGCGAGAGGCCTGCTTTGTCAACAGGGATGGGCGCATTGACAACATCGTCGCAAGAGCGCGCGCGCCGATTTTTGCATCCGCGCGTTGCCAAATTTGCGCGATGGGTTTCGGCATCCGCGCGCAACAACGCGCGCGTGGAATTCGCGAACTGGCGCGCGGGGGCGTCTCAAGTACTTCGGGCGTTTGATACGCGGGCGCGCGTGACGCATGCATCCGGCAAGGTGTTTAGCTGCGGTTATGAGCTCCTATCTGGCATGCACGATGGGACTGGGGCGGTAGATCTGGTTGTCGATTTAGAGAGGAGAACCCAAGTGGTTCAGTTGATGTGACGTGATGTACATGGTGCAGCATGCGCGGTGCAACCTATGTAGCGCGATGTTGTTTTGTATCGCACTGATTTGTCTACTCCACTGATCGCTCAACCACCCTGCCCGCCGGCCCGCAACTTGGCGCCCGCTATCTATGCGGCGGCGATTGCGATGACTTCTCGGCGCCGGCCAACGCGTCGCTCCGGCCGCGCTCGCGCTCGCAGTTCTTGCGCGCGCAGCCGCCAGTTAGTCTGGCGCGACAGACGCGGCCTCGGTGACGCTGACCGCCGGGGACTTCCCAGCCCGTCGCGCGGGCCGCGCTGACGCGTGGGCACAGCAGTTCGGGTCGGCGCCTAGGGCGGGCGCGGCATCGCGTCGACGTCGACAGCGGCAGACCCGACGACGATTGCAGCGGTGCTGCGACGTCGATGGCGAGGGCGACGTCGAAGCCAGCGACGG